CACTTCAGCCTTACCTTTTCAATGATATCCCCACAATTACACTTAATTTACCACCCTTGAGCTGGAGCGATAGCACAGCGGTAGGGCGTTTGCCTTGCATGTGGGCAGCCTGGCCGAGCCAGGTTCAATTCCTCCGCCCCTCTCTGAGAGCCTGGCAAGCTACCGAGAGTATCTCACCTGCACGGCAAAGCCTGGCAAGCTACCTGTGACGTATTTATATGTCAAGCACAGTAACAATGAGTCTTACAATGGAGACGTTAGTGGGCCCGCTGGAGCAAATCGAAGAACAATGGGAGAACTGTGACAGTGACCCCATCCTTATGCTATTGGTCTCTCTCTCTTTTTCTCTCTTTCTCTTTCTCTCTCTCTTTGTCTCTCTCTCACACACAAGCATACTCATTTTTTTCATTCTTGATATATATGCATATAAATATATCCCTATGAACACATGGTATACATTTCTAATAATTATGTTATATTATAGATATGCTTATATCACACACATTATGTATCACACTTATATTATGCACATTATTATATTTACATTTCTGATTCCTTTTCTTGATTTCTTTCCTCCAAAATCAAGTTATCAAGTATATTTTTATGCTGACTTAAATACAAAATTATAACTCAGGAAGACTGAGAGCAGAAGAAAATAAGTTTGAAAACAGGCAGACAATATAAAATTTATTAGCACTGTAGCACTGTTCCCGATTTGCTTGAGCAGGCATCAGTAATGTCTCGATTGTGAGACTTGTTGTTGCTGTTTTTGGCGCATTAGATATGCCATGAGGAGCTTGCCAGGTTCTAACGTGCGGCAGGGATACTCACGGTAGCTTGCCAGGCTCTTCAAGAGGGACAGAGGAATTGAACCTGGGTCGGCAAATGCAAGGCAAATGCCCTAACCATTGTGCTATCGCTCCAGTCCAAAATTATGTTAATATTCAATAATTGCATTCAAAATATTACTGAATTTCTCTGTGCTAAATATTGATGGAAACATGGATATGGATATGAACTAAACAAGGAAAATGATGTATAAATAAGAAAGTGGGAAAGTTACTGGAAAAACCTAAAACAAAGTCCCTTGTTTTTAGGCTACTCACCTAACCCTACAACCTACAACACGATGCCTTAAATAAGCTTATGTGAAGATTCTAGAATGGAGAAAAATCCATAAACTCTAGGAAAAAAATAACCTCTCAAACATTGAACGGATGTGCAAATCGGTACTCAGATTCATCTTGCTCCCTTTTTCTTTACTTTGTAAAGAAAAGTAATTCACTTGAAAATCTCTGCAATACATTTTGAAAGACAATACCAAGGAAACTTAATCTATTTTACACCTGGAAGGGCACCAGAGAAGACTCTTATGGCATGAGGAATGAGGTGTGCCTGCAGGAGCATTACAAACAGCCATCAGTGTGCTAGTACCCCTCTGCTACCTGAAATTAATCCCACCACAATGGGGGAGCTTCCTCAAGCCACATGCATTCCCTGCAGAAAGCAAACCAACAAACCACACACACACATGTGGGAGGTCGTCTTTGAAGTCTAAGGAACTACATTCTTTGCATGCCAAAATAATATTTTGTCTCTTATTTATTAAAAGAGTTTAATATTTCATTCATTTCTAAGGTATATTTAAATGTCAATGATGTCTACTTTGGCAACATATCATATTCGTTTAAGTATGAGCTATGAAATAAAAAAGATTGAGTTCAAATCCTCCCCTTTAACCCCTAGAAGAAAGGTCAAATTTCATAATCTACGAACCCTTAGGTTACTAATCTTTATAATTTTATATTATTATCTATGTCTTAGGGATATTGTGGGGATAAAATTAGATAATGTGTAAAAATATTTTGTTATCTTATAGATGATAAATACATATCGTTATTTAATTACTACATATTCTATGTGCACATGATGATATAACTACATATATTTATGTGTACCATGTTTATATTTCTTATAATTTAATGTTCATAACATATCACTAGGCTTCTTCAGATTTATGAGGGTATCTTAAAATGTGCTGAATTCTGAAGAACATACATATAATAAAGTATATAGCATATACATGCTATTTCCTATATATTTACTATTTATATGTAAAAGCAAACTCATTTTAAAAGAAGAAAGTTATTAAATAATGAGTGGTAACTTGTATAAATTATTAGAAAAATAATAGTTATTATCCCAACTTACAGTATAATTTATGTTTTTGCCTCAGGGGATTAAATCTATTTCATTTCTCTGTATGTATCTATGTTACCTATCAAATACACAAATTTGTGATCAATAGATTCATGGAAACTGATGTGCTTTCTATCTACTTAGCTTAACAACATTCTTGCCTGGATTTCCTTTCTCTGAAATTCTAACAGCCTGAGTAAATTTTTATCAACTCCTCCTCCCAGAGTGACTTTAAATGTTATCTTCAGGTATGAGCAATTTTTTAATTTGCTTTATGTTTTTATAGTCCCAGAAAGTTCATAAGCAATGGGATGAGACCAACTATTGTATGTTATACATTATTCTTTTTAACATAATATATTGTGAGTCCTCTGGGGGTAAGGGATCATATTTTAAATCTTAGTAGCAATAATGCATAGCATAGTGAACATATCAATGTATTATTGCAGCAAATTTGTTTGGTGAAAGTATTTGGTCCTTTGATTTCTGTAATGTTAAATACTATGCAGTTTCCTAACCCTGCCAGATTGATGTGTCTTTTGTATAAAGTCTATGTTTTTCTCTCCTTTAAAATTTGCATTTTAATATATAATTCTTAAAATTTATAAATACTTCTTTAAATCGGGCATATTGTTTCATGACCTAGAAAAGTTTCTAATGGTTTATTTCCTTTTTCGGTTCCCTTTATTCTTTTGTTTCTTTGTTTGTTTTTGGGTCACAGCCAATGTTTAGGATTTACTCCTGGCAATGCACTTAGGAATCACTCCTGGCAATGCTCAGGTGTTCATATGGGATGCCAGGGATTGAACCCAGGTTGGTCAGTTGCAAGGCAAATACCCTACATGTTGTATTATCGCTCAGGACCTGTTCCCTTTATGTTTTAAGTAGGTTTAATTTTACGTTATGATACTTTCTTTGAGTGTTGAAACCGTTGCTATTATTGCTTACAATTTTAGTATATCTATGCTATAGCCTATGAAGACTTGTATGCTGATTTTATTTCCTCCAGTATTTTATGAAGTTAGATATCAGTATATAAAAGACTGAAACTAAAAATAAAGTTAATTTGCCTTTAAGTTAGAGGGCCAAATTTTAAGAATAAATTGTAAAATAAAGCATATTTTCTTAGAAATTCTGAAATAATCAATCTTAGAAACAAAAAAAGAATATTATAGTGAATAAAGTACTTGCTGCTGTGCAGGATTTCATCAGAGTTTACTTTTTAATTTACTTTATTATTTTTATCTTCAGAATTATCCTGTGAGGTTAGTGTCTATAGTCATGTGCAATATTCAACTTCTGCATTTTTGAAACTTGGGTGGTATATTTAGCAACCATCATAGGAGTAATCAGAGGAGATCAAAAAATGGTTCTTATTGTTTTCCCAATATAATCCCAAACAACATTATCCTGGTTTTATATTCTACATGATACAGAATGGCATCATTAAGATGGCACTCAATTTATATGGGGGAAAAAGAGAAACTTTTGTCAGAGATAAATTAGATTTTCTTCTATCATCAAAAGGTTCTCATCTTGTACAGTTAAGACTCTAAATTTTTTTAGAGCATCAGGAAATTGCATAGCATTATGCAATGTACAAAAGGAAGACAAAAAATGTGTTCTTGGGATTTTCTCCATGAAAAACATAAATATTTCTTTGGAACTAGATTGCAATGACCCTTACTTATTGTACAATGATGGGTCCCAAACTTCCCTTTAGTATTATTTATCCATAATGATTTTATGTTCTTTTTATTTTAATATAAAGAAGGCAGTGCAATATAATATAAAGTAGATGGACAGTAATTCAGATATCTTTTACTTCTGGGAAATGAGCTAGAAAACTGTTTAAAAAAATTCTCTCAGACCCAATCATGAAGAACTTTATGTATCTCACAGTGTTTAAATTAAAAAAAATATATTGAACTTCAAAATTTCTGTTTATAAATTATAATACCAATTGGTATTTTAATATCAGTTGTCAGTATAAATAATATAAAATTACCAACTGACAGTATAACTAACAAACCTAAGTGACATAGGGAATATATAAGTCTAGTATATGAGCATAATCTATAATATTTTGTCTTATTAATATTGGTATTTAAAATGTGCATTTTGATTCATTTTATTTATGTAATTGAATTTATGTTGTCCCCAAATGCTCTTCCAGACACTCAGCATCTCCTTCAGCAGCTGTTAGCCACATGGGCCAATAGTTCAACATAAGACCTGAGTATGCAAGGTTGCTCAGACCAGGAGTTGCCAGGATTAACTGGGCCACCGGTGTTACTTAGGATCCTCTAGGTTTGTACCCAAAGATATTTGGGACACTATGTGGTGGTAGGGATTTAATAGGGGTTAGCTGAATGCAAGACTTGAGATTTAACTCCTGTACTATCTCTCTTTTGTGCACCTAAAACACACAAACACATATTTGAGAAGCTTGGAAAATATAACTGAAAAATATTTTTTAAAAGGACGATGCATTAGTTTTTACTATACTTTGGATATATTGCTGTTGAGTTGTGGCTCTGATTCGTGATGAGCCTTATAAGATCTGTTAGGTAGACCATGTCAGCAGATTTCAAGAAATACTAGATAATTTCTTGGTCTATGGAAGATCTCACTCAGAAAAATCTCAGTTAAATTTTCATGAAAAAGTGCTTCACTTTAATTTATTCTTCTTCTATTTTTACCCTAAGTTAGCTGTTATGTAAAATTAATAACTGGAGGATAGGACCAACAAAATCAGTTTAGGTATAAATGTTCTATACTGACATGATCTTGATTTTTTTTTAAATATGGAATGCTTCACGAATTTGCATGTCATCCTTGTGCAGGGGCCAATCTTCTCTGTATCATTCCAATTTTAGTATATGTGCTGTCGAAGCGAGCACGATCTTGATTTTTATAAAATGTCAAAGAAAATCATAAATCATTTATACACCTTTCACTTAAGACTTTTACATAAGACTTGTATATGTAATCATTAAATAAGCATGATAAGACTAGCTCTAAAGGACAAAGGAAAACACATAACAGAAGATTATGCTTTTCAGTATTGATGAGAATAACAGATAAAGATGACCTTAAAGTCAAGTGTTGGCCTCATCTGTTCTTTGAAGTTTTATTTTCTTTACAGTTGACGCAAATGAATTATTTCTATAGTGATGACTTTCAAATGTATAATTTCAATTGAACAGCTTTACATGAATTACAAACTTATTATTCTTCTTCAAAATTCCACTTTAGAGGTGTTTTTTGGGGGTAGGGTGGGGGCAGGGTGCACTGGTGGAAGGAAGCGGCCATTGGTGAACGGTCATTGGTGAAAGGATCAGTGTTGACATGAAACCCTGAAATCTAATCACAAATGACTGTAATGTTACAATGACCAAATTTTTAAAAAATTAAAAAGCATTTTACTTGAGTGTCACAATAAAAGCATTGCTGAAAATTCAACTTGCCACCACACCCATAAATCTCTTTTGTTTCCACTTCATTTAAAATCCCACCAAAGCATATCCTATCATTGATCTTTTGTTTCCTGAATCCCAAGCATATGTACCCAGTCAGGTCTACTTCCCTTTCTTATAATTGTCTGACTATTTCCCCCACTCTCCCTCTTTACATAGTCTCTACTCTACTGGGTCTGACTTTTCATTTCAATCTTCTCTTGCTCAGAACCGGAGATATAGTATTGTGGTAGGACACCTGCCATGCATGCCCTAACTGGGTTTGATTCCCTGAGTAATGCCAGGAATTATCCCAGAGCACAAAGCCAAATGCTGGGTGTAAGCCCTGAAACAAACAACAAACAAAGAAATTCATTTTTTTTTTCATTCTCTGAGTCAATGTTTTACTTTGTAAAGGTTAAGTGTACACTCACCGTTCTTTTAAAATCCCTCCCAAATCTGTTTTGAAGTCATCGACATACCCAGTCTCTTGCAAACCTTTCAGCTTTAGTCCCTTTCCAACTATCATAGTCATTCCCTTCAACTTTTATATTGACTCTAGCATCCTAATCTACTCACACTGTCTGTTCTGTCTGAAATAGTATTTGCAATCCCCAAAGTATCTTTGACTGCTAATGTTCACATTCAATTCAGAGATCACTTTCTGAGGGAAACTATCTCTGGTGTCACATACCCTGAAATAAAAAATGAAATGCATCATGTATAGATGGATGTACACATTTTATTTCTCATAAGATAGAATTCACAGTTGTTTGAGAGATTAATTATGTGTCTCCAATAGAGTTGAAATTCCTTTAGGGAAGTCTAACCTATATTATGTTTAACTAAGAAATTAGAAATAATCTGAGATATACAGTATGTTTAGTGTTAAAATTGTGATGCATGCACAGAGTGAAATAGTCTCATTTCACTGAAATAATGAAAAAAATAGAAAAGAATTTCCACTTGCTACTCAATCCCTTCCTTCCCTTTAGTTTACTGAATTAAGAAGTATAGGTATGAAAGTGGTAATACTCATTCTGAGAATCCGGAACATAACGCATTTTTATTATATGTGAAATAGACATATAGTTGTCACTTGATACTTAAATTGCATTTAGCTCTGGTTAAATCAAAACCCATTCATCTATCATATTTGAAAAATGAATTTGCTACTCAAAAAATTCTCATCAGAACACACTATAAAAATAAATTATTTTCTCCATATAAAATATTTTAAAATTCTGAAATATAAATATGTAAACCAGAAATTAACACTAAATATTAATATATTTATAAGGAATCTTTTGACAATACATATACATTTGTACACATACCCAAATTGGCATCACATATTTCATTGCTTCATTCTTTCACATTTTTAAATCAATGGAAGTAACAAATGAATTTTATTTCCATACAAATTAGATATACAAAATAAAAGCAAAATTCTTCTGACCAAAAGCTTGTCACTTTGCTATGTAAGTTGGTTTCAAACAGCATCCTGCTGACAAATCTGTTCATGCAAGGCATGAAAATAAATCTTCTCTACTTTAATAATTCAAAGTTATGCTCAAATTCTGTCTCATTTGTAAATGCTGAGCATCCACTCAACTAGAGGAACAACATTCATTTTTGTGGAATCGCAAGAAGAACCTGGTAATTTTTCAGATTTGAAATTTGTCATCTAGAAATCAGACAGCTCTGCCTAGGACTCACCATCTCACTATCCTTATTTACAGCAAATCTACTGACTGAGAAATAAGTAATTTATTGGGACAATTATCTAGCGAGTTTCACACCTGCTGCCTCATAACAGACAACCAACTAAACAATGTGTAAGTAGGAAAAAAAACCCACTTTTCTCCTGAAAGAAAAACAAAATATAATGTTGCTTCTTCAGTACCTTGATAATGGTAATGGAATCAATTCTACTTGAATGAGATGGATAATTTCACATAGAGGAAAGTATAAAAAATTGGTATTTTCTCAAGTATCTGGTTACTTAAAAACATTTATATTTAACTTGTGTCTTTTTTATGGTATGAAGTGAGTCAAATTGTCTTATTTTTCCATTTAACTTTCATTAGCCTTTCTATCCACAATAGAATAACTCATTTAATTGAGGTATGATTTACAGTGGTAATAATATGTGTGGTTTAGACATACAATCTTATTGTACCACACCCACCAGCAGAATGCCAATATCTCTCATTCATTATTGTTTGTCCTAATTTTCTTCTCTACTCTTATTCAGTTTTGTTGACAGAATCTGAGTTTATTTTCATTGGCCATTATCTCTTCGTTGGCTTTGTTTTCTTGTGCTTCACAAATGATTGATGTTATTCTTTGAGTAAATACAGAATATTTTTTTTATTTTGCTTTTTGTGTCACGCCTGGCAATGCTCAGGGGTTGCTCCTGTCTTTGCACTCAGGAATCATTCCTGGCAGTGTTCACGGGACCATATGGTATGCTAGGAATCAAACCCGGGTCAGCTGCGTGAAAGGCAAATGCCCTACCTGCTGTGCTATTGCTCCAGCCCCAAATAGAGAAAATTTTTCTTGGAAATTTATCATTTATTTTATTTCTTTATGTAGTTTAGGAATCATTATTGCTGTGCTTAAGGAATACTCTCGGCTCTGTGCTCAGGAGTTTATCCTGACTGGAGAGCAGGAAACCAAATATGATGTTGAGAATAGAACTGAGTTTTGCTGAGAAAGGCAAGCGCCTTAATCCCTATATTATTTATCTTTCTGGCCCCTGAATTTCATTCTATCAGTAAAGTTACAACAGAAACTTAAAATGTGATATTCAAGTCACATCTAGAGGTGTGCTTGCAAATATATACTTTTATAGAGCGTTTTCCTGCATAATACAATGGAATCTTATTTTTCTCAAATTCTTCTATTAAGTCACTGCACAGTTTCTGCCATTTGCATCCTAATTCGAGACTGGCCATTTTAGTATTGCATATATGAGAAACATCAGAAAGTAGAAAACTTGGATAAATTCAAAATTACTATTTACTAGTTTGCAATATGCTGGGTAGCAGTTTTACAGCTTTGAGCTTCCATGGCTCCATGTTGTAGGAAAGAGACAGTGGTGAACGGTTTCTCAGTACAGAACTGAAAATTATTTTATCCTTATCATCATGTACTCATTCCATGTGATTCATTAATTCAAATATATTACAACCTATCATGCTCCAGCATTGTAAATATCGGAGGTACAGAAACAGCCTAGATGTTCTACTTCATAGAGCTTGTGGGTTCTTGTGTCGTTATCTTAACCATGTACTTTAGGTAATGAAAAGAACTTGTTTATTATGTGGTTAAGGGTACAACAGCTTTTACAAAATTACCATTGAGAAAACAAAAGGTCAATAAGGGAAAGAATAACATGAAAGTTCAATAGCTAACTAACCACAGAACTAATAAATAAATAGACTATTTCTGTAATTATCTAGCTTGGGTTCATATTATTCAAAGCCTACTACTAGATCCTGGTTCTGTGTCTGTAGACAATTCTAAAACATGACACTTAAGTTTTTAATTATGTATCCAGTCATTGAATTACTGGATCATGCACTAATTCTATAATATTTTTTGAAAAAATATTATGATATTTTTTCTTAATGCTTTCATCATTTTCCATCTTATCACTACAAACAAGAGTCCTAGTTTCATTATGTCCTCACAAACATTCTCTTCTAAAATCTTCTTTTCTTTCTTTGTCCGTTATTGTTATCACTGGAGCTGTGTACCATGGTGACACACTAGGTTATAGAAATTACTCATTTGCTAGCAATCTCAAATACTTCCTCTTACTATACAGGGTTGGGCAGTCGCGCATTTTTGTGGTGGTACATTGGGGATGGTACTGCCTGAGAACACAAGAGTAGAGTCAGGAACTATACTCATAGGCTCATGCATGCAAGAATGTTGCTCTACATTAAGGAATATCTCTGGGACCATTTTTCTTTTTTTTTATCATTTTTTTTTATTAGTGAAACACCATGAAGTACACTTATAGACTTATAAATTTTTGTGCTTGGGTTTCAGTTATACAATGATCAAGTACCCATCCCTCCACCAGTGCCCATCCTCCCCCACCACGGGTCCTAGCATCCCTCCCACCCCCCATCACCCCCCGTCCCACCCTGCCGCTGTGGCAGGGCATTCCCCCTTGTTCTCTCTCTCTTCTTTTGGGTACTGTGTTTTGCCAGAGAGGCATTGAGTGGCAATCATGTTTGGTCTATAGACTACTTTTAGCATGTCTCTCCCACCCGGGGAGGGTCTTCACAACACCCTTTATTTGGTGCTCTCTTCTCTATCTGAGCTTCCTTCTCACCTAGCACATGTGGCTGGCCTTCAAGTCATGGAGCAAAATTCCTGGTACTAATCTGAGCCTACAGAATGGGAAAGAATATTCACCAAATACACAT